ACCTTTGCCTTCTTAGAAGCCTGCGCCACATGGAAGACAGTCAGTTACCCGAAGGGAAGAGATGAAAAAGGTGCCTCACTTAAAGCTCCCAGCACTTCCAATGCCAAATATGTAGACTTTCCTCCACAGCCAAGCTCCAGTTTTCTGTGCTTACTTGGGGGTGGCCTCCTACAGTCTGATTAAACTCTGGCCCTGGGTGACCTGGAAAAATCATGCTCCCCACTGCTTAAGATCCACCTCCTGCAGGACCACTGCCACTTTCCTATGTCAACCCCAAGCAGTGAGTAAACCACATTTCTGTCCATCATGGCTGCAGATCATCAGTTCCCATGAACTCTGCCCCATTTAGATCATTGCTGTAATGGCACACAGAACCCAGCTCACTGTGCTCACTGTGATCCGTTTATGATAAAGACAAAGAGGCAGGACCGGAGATATAGTACAGTGGGTAGGGCATTTGCTTTGCACACAGTCAACCTGGGTTTGATTCCCCAGCACCAAATCGCATCTCCTGATCCCAGCCAGGGGTATGGTACTGAGCACTACCCAAGACCATTAGTAATAATAATAATAATAAAAGGTAAAGGCCCTCCCATTGTTCATCGATTTGCTCGAGCGGGCCCAGTAACGTCTCCACTGGAGATTTTGTTGTTACTGTGTTTGGCATATCGAATACATCATGGGGAGCTTGCCAGAGCTTGCCAGGCTCTGCCATGCAGGCAAGATACTCTCGGCAGCTTGCCGGGCTCTCCGAGAGGGGCGGAGGAATCAAACTCGGGTCGGCCATGTTGGCTGCATGCAAGGCAAATGCCCTACCGCTGTGCTATAATAATAATAATAATAATAATAATAATAATAATAATAATAATAATGTAGCACTGTAGCACTGTCCTCCCATTGTTCATCGATTTGCTCGAGCAGGCCCAGTAACGTCTCCATTGTGAGACTTGTTACTGTGTTTGGCATATTGAATACGTCATGGGGAGCTTTTTGCCATGTGGGTGAGATACTCTCGTAGCTTGTCAGGCTCTCCGAGAGGGGTGGAAGAATTGAACTTAGGTCAGCCAGGTCGGCCAAGTTGGCCACATGCAAGGCAAATGCCCTACCCACTGTGATATCACTCCAGCCCTATAATAATAATAATAGTAATAATAATAAAAGGACACAGAGGCAGTGCCAGAGGAGGGAACAGAGTGTGAGGTCTGTAAGGGGTCTGAGCACAAGGATATGTGCCCCAACAGAACAGGGATGCATTGCCTTCCCTATGTGTTAATAAGGTCCGGGAAGCTCTCTGAGGCTTCTGTAGTTTAGGAGTTTTGTTGTGGGCCTAGCTGATGAACACACTGTCTGTGGGTGATGATGACTCAGCCATTTATTCCCTGTCCCCTCCTTGGAAATCAGGGATGGGACCTGATGATCCAACCCTCTAATCCTTCCATAAGCAGCTCCTTTCCCAAAGCTATCAAACATTGCATGAACATGTGGAGAAATTTTTAGGGCTTTAGTAGCACTGTAGCACTGTCTTCCCGTTGTTCATCAATTTGCTTGAGCGGGCACCAGTAACATCTCCATTGTGAGACTTGTTGTTACTGTTTTTGGCATATCGAATATGCCAGGGGGAGCTTGCCAGGCTCTGCCGTGAGGGCGGGATACTCTCAGTAGTTTGCTGGGCTCTCCAAGCTTAGTAGAGATAGAATTTTTTTTTTCAAAGAAACACTTTCAGGCCTGAGAGATAGTACAGCAGGCAGAATGTTTGCCTTGCATGCAGCCAACCAAGGTTTGGTCCATGCTATCACATGTGGTCCCCCCCGCCCCACCCGGCCAGGGTGTGGCCTCCCCAAAACAACCACAATTACAGAAATACCCACCATCACAGAATTTTTGCTAATTAAAAATCGATGGAAATGTTAGCCATAGTACATTTTCTTCTATTTAATCACACCTGATATAGGTCAGGAGCTAAGAGGTTTATGCCATATAAAATTCTGAGTTCTGTACTCAAGTACCTTAATAAGGGGGCATGTAGTAATGGGCAGAGAAATCTCCTTTCACTTCATAACCCAGGAAACTGCCTGTTTCAGGAGGTCTGTGACAGAAACTGGGGGCAAGGACCCAATCTGTCTACTACCATTGCATCACCCTCCAAGCCTTCATTGTCTCAGCCAGCCCAGGTTTCAGATGAACTTTATCTGACAAAGAAACATGTCCATTTGAAGCATTGTATCATCATTCACAGATATATAAAGTTTCACCAATTTATTGAACCGATATTTGTATTAAAAATGCTATCCAAGGGATTTAAGTTGACTTGAAAAGTAATCAAGTTTATCTTTCAATATAGATTAAGGCTGAGATCTATAATGGGCTCTTCATGGAGAAAGTGGTACCTGGGATGGGCCATACTTGGAAGTACTCAGGGACTGCTCCTAGCTCTGTGCTCAGGGATTGCTTCTGGCAGTGCCTGAGGGACCATGTGGTACCAGGGATCAAACCCAGGCCTCATGTTTGCAAAGGGGAAAAGTCCTTTGAGTTGTCTTTCTGTCCCTTAAAGGGACCCTTTTTTTTTAAATTTATTTTTATAAAGTTGTTCACAATAATTCATTGCATTTAATGTTCAAACACTAATCCCACCACAGTGCACCTTCCCAACACCATAAGAGCAAAGTGTGTGAAGATTGTTGTGTTTCATCCTGGCGCCATTAAAGCCCTCATATAAGAGATTACAAACATATGTTAAACCCAAACAAATGTGTACTACATTTGGTACATCAGTGGTCATGTGGCCACAAATGTGGCTGCATGCTCCAGGATTTCTGAAATTTAGAATATGATTATAGAGCAGATTTACTCGTGGATAAGACCCATGTTACTCTCTTCCGGGAGCTTATTTCAGAGTCTCTGGATATTGGATGTTGATGAGATTATATTGTGCTGGGGCAGTTTGTGGGTGTGAGCTACTGCTGAGCTACTGGAAAACGTGGGAGCTGGGGCGAGGAGGCCTAGTCCCGCTTGAAGTGAGCTTGGAGATTTCAGTCATGGATCCTGCATACCTGGGTTCTTCTGCGGGTTCCCCCGTGGGTGAGACTCATTAGAGCCTGTGGAGAGCAGTTTTGAGAGTGCCTATGTTGGCTTCTGGAGGTTTTCAGCTGCCAGGTTTCTGCTGGGGTGGGGAGGGAAACTCAACCCCTCTCCTCCCCCCCCCCCCCCGTCCACCCCCCCCCCCACCCTCCCGTCCCTCAAGGTGCCACGGTGAAGACAACCTGGTAGGTCTTTCTATGTTGCTCTCTTCAGGGAGCTTTTTTTCCTGAGTCTCTGGACCTTGGCCATTGATGAGATTTCATGGCGCCAGAGGCAGTTTGTGGGTGTGACTGCCAGGTAAAAGGACCCTTTAAAGAGATAAAGAGTTTGGTTGATCAAAGTGATCATATTGTTTTGTAATAAGGGCCATTGATAAACAAAGCAAAACAAACAGGCATCTTGTTGTATATCATGAGGATTAAGCCTAAGGCAAAAGTTGCATGCAGTATTTCAGTTTTTCCACTAGATGGAGAACACATCTTCTCAAAATCTCCAGCTTGCTCACTTCATTGCAAAACTTAATCCGAGGTTTTGGTGATCAACAGTGAGACAGATGGTGCTGGTGCCTTTTGAGTATCCTGGTGGGTATCAGTGTATCACTGTATCACTGTCATCCTGTTGTTCGTCAATTTACTCGAGCGGGTGCCAGTAACGTCTCCATTCATCCCAGCCCTGAGATTTTAGCAGCCTCTCCTTACTCGTCTTTCCCAATGCTCCTATATTGGATCATGCTTTTTCATGATCAGGGGAATGAGACCCATTATTGTTACTGTTTTGAACATATCGAATATGCCACAGGGAGCTTGCCGGGCTGTGCTGTGCTGGTGGGATACTCTCAGTAGCTTGCCGAGCTCTCCAAGAGGCATATATACATCTTTCCCTCTATGATTTGTTGCCTACTGTCTGAACCCCATCAAATATGGTGTGATAATTATGAAAAATGGGTAGGGAGTGTCTTATAATGTCAGCCGCGGAGTCCAGGAATATGTTCACTCATATGTGAGGCAGTCTCTGCCCCCGCGCTTCGGTGTTCCTTCCCGGAGTCCCTTGGAGGGGAGCGGGTTGAGCTTTCCTCCCCGCCCCGGCCAGGGCTACGGCAGCCGGAGACCTCCAGGACCAGCCACCACCATGCTGAGACCACTCTCCGCACACCTGAAGGTACTGGCAGAGGGACAAAGCCACGCGGGTTCCGGGGCCGAGACCTCCAAGCCTACTCGAATTGGAGTCGAGCATCTTCCACCCAGATCCTCCAAATTCCAGTAGGCGGGGGTCACACCCACCACCTGGCCCCCTGGCGCCGTGTAATCCCATCAGCGGCCAAGACTCAGAGACTATAAAATCCAGATCCCGGAACCGCGCGGCCGCATTCGCGGCCGTGCGACATCTTATCTCATTCCTACTTTGGACAAACTTGCAGGCTGTCGAATGTAGCCTGCCCACAGGGCAGAGTCTGGCAAACTCCCCGTGGCCTACCAAATATGCCAAATACCAGTAACAATGATGGGTCTCATTCTCCTAAAGAGCCCTGAATATAATCTCAGGGCTAGGATGAAAGAGACGTTACTGGGGCCTGCTCGAGGCAATCGACGATTAACAGGATGATGAAATGAAATGAAAATGTGAGGCTTGGCCTGAGCATGTGGAAAGCGGCCTGGAGCGTAGCGGCAGTTGGGTAGTGGAGGTGGGAGTGGAGGGTTCTCACCCACCCCCCACTGGAGGACCCCGAGTGAAAACAGCCTGGCGCTGAGTCCCTGGTGGGTATAAGACAGGAAATCTGAATTTGTCTTTCAAAGCAGGAAATAAACAGTAAAACACAGCTAAGAAGGTCACTGAAAAGTCCAAAGTAGGAGAATTGCAAAAGAGGAAGTGCAAGCGATGTGCTGTCAGTTCAGCAGCAACATATCTGCTGGAGAAGGCCAAGGGTCAGGTCAGAAATGCATGAGCGCAGCTGTTGACATGGTCTGGGCAGAGGTAAGACTTGGGGTGCCTTGGAGGGTTAAATCACTGTGTGCCATAAGGAGTGACAAAATAGTTATCAGTAATCCAGCCTGTGATTGGGGAGCCCCTGGACTCTTTCAATCCTTAACAAGCCTCTGCTCCACATTCCCTCCTCCGGGCCATGTAGGGCTCTCCTCCCCACAGACCTTGATCCTACTGTAATGACAAATAAGAAGCTATATGTAATAAGAATTGCACTGTAGTACTGTGCTCCCATTGTTCATCTATTTGCTCGAGCAGGCACCAGTAACGTCTCCATTGTGAGACTTGTTATTACTGTTTTTGGCATATTGAATATGTCATGGGGAGCTTGCCAGGCTTTGATGTGCCAGCAGATACTCTTGATAGCTTGCCGGGCTCTCCAAGAGGGATGGAGGAATCGAACCCGAGTTGGCTGCATGCAAGGCAAATGCCCTATCTGCTGTGCTATTGCTGCAGCCCGTAATGAGAATTATGAAACTGTAATGAAACTTAAGAAAATGTGATAGGGACTGGGAAACTGGAACTGACCCCCTAACGTAAGCAAGAGGAGGGAGGGAGAAATATTCATTTTTATGACCCCAATTAACTGAGTTAAGGATCCACCAGCCCAGATTGATGGGACACCCTGAGCCCGACAGATTTATGGGGTTGCACAGAAGATGGTACCTGAAAGTCACACCAAAAATGGCAAGAAATACTGACACTGACAATTTTTCTTTGAGCACCTGAAGGTCATACCATGTGGGAACGATGCACTGATTGTTTTTCTCTTACTGATTCCCTCTGTATCCCCTGTTTCACTGATAAGAATGTACATCAATTGTAGCCCACCTTTAGGGGATAAAAGAGAGACCCTCTCAGCAAACAGAGCTCCATGTCTATTTCTCTTCTGACTTGGGGTCCTCAGTGCTGAGCCTCTAGTAAACTCACTATCCTACCCTGAGCTGTCTCTCTTTCTCTCTGTTCATTTGCGGCTCACGCCAGCACAACCCTACTAGACTCTGACTGCGGGTTTTCTGAGCACTGATTTCCTCTACTTTAGCATGGCACCAGGGCTCCTGGGCTGATGCTCGGAGATCCCTGGGCGCACAGAGTGCACACAGTCACTGGAAAGGTTGATCAGAGGGCAATGAGGAGTGACGACTTGGCCTGGAATGAAGCAAAAAGAATGGCAGAAATGTTCTCAAACAAATTTGTGTGTATCAGGGAGTAGGGTGAGAAGGGGCAGTGCTAGACTTAAAAACCAAAAATGGTGAATGGGGAAGGAGACATGGCAGTTGGGCTAGGGGCTCCTGCTTCGCATGCGCCCACTCCCATTGGACCCCAGCCCTGATGATCCCGGATTCACAGGCCAAACTGTCACCTCCTTGGCTTCTGGCATTGAGCCTCTGACCCAGTTATCAGGTGCCACAGTGTCCCTCCCAAGACATTGCACATTGCTTGAGGAGTTCCCAGGACCCCCCAAAATACCCCAAAATTTTATTCTGAATTTCACTATTCATAAAAAGCATCCATGGGGCTGGAGAAGTAGCACAGCAAGTAGGGCGTTTGCCTTGCATGCGGCAGACCCGGGTTCAATTCCTAGCCTCCCATATGGTCTCCAGAGCACCACCAGGAGTCATTCCTGAGTGCAGAGCCAGGAGTTACCCCTGAGCATCGCTGGGTGTGACCCAAAAAGCAACAAAACAAAACAAAATTCATATTATTTTATTTAAAAATATTTTTAATAAATAACCAGGGACTGAGATCTCCAAGCCAGCTCGGATTGGGACTGGGACTCCTTCACCCAGATCCCCCATCTTCCAGTAGCTAGACAGTTAAACCCACCAACTACCCTGGCGCCATGTAATCCTATCAATGGCCAAGATCCAGAGACTATAAAATCAAGCTCCCAGGAGCACACAGCCGCATCTGTGGCTGTGCAACATCTTTTTTTAAAAATTTATTTATTTATTTATTTTATTTATTAGTGAAACACCATGAGGTACAGTTGTAGACTTACAAACTTTTGTGTTTGGGTTTCATTTATACAATGATCGAGTACCCATCCCTCCACCAGTGCCCATTCAGTGCCCAACAATGATCCCAGTAGCCCTCCCAACCCCCACCCCGTGCCCCACCCCACCCCACCTCTGTGGAAGGGCATTCCCTTTTGCACACCCTTTCCTTTAGGGTGTTGTAGTTTGTAATACAGGTATTGAGTGGCCATTGTGTTCAGATTACAGTCTACTTTCAGCAAGCATCTAGCATCCAGAGCGAGTCCTCCAGATATCCTTTACTTGGTATTCCCTTCTCTATCTGAACTGCTTTTACCCCCAGAAAGTGCTGCCAGCTTCCAAGCCCTGGAGATGACCTCCTGGTATTTATCTCAACTATTCCTGGGTGTTCAACTCCCATTCTGTTACTTTATACTCCCCAGATGAGTGCAGTCTTTCTATGTCTGCCCTTCTCTTTCTGACTAATTTCACTTAGCATGATACTTTCCATGTAGAACCACTTGTATGTAAATTTCATGACTTCATCTTTTCTAACATCTGCAAAGTATTCCATTGTGTAGATGTACCAGAGTTTCCTTAACCAGTCATCTGTTCTCAGGCACTCGGGTTTTTTCGGGTTTTTTCCAAATTTTGGCTATTGTGAACAGTGCAGCAATGAACATAACAAGTGCAGATGTCATTTTGAATGTACTTTTTTGCCTCTCGGTGATATATTCCCAGGAGTGGTAATTGCTGGGTCAAATGGGAGAGCTCACTTTCTAATTTTTTTGAGAATGGTCCATACTGATTTCCAAAAGGGCATTCCCACCAGCAATGAAGGAGTCAGTGGCCACATCTGCGCCAACACCGGTTGTTTTTGTTCTTTTGGATGTGGCCCAGTCACTGTGATGTGAGATATCTCATTGTTTTTTGGATCTGCAGCTCCCTGATGATTAGTGATGTAGAGCATTTTCTCGTGTGCCTTTTTGCCATTCAGATTTCTTCTTTGAGAAAGTTTCTGTTCATTTCGTCACTCCATTTTTTGAGGGGGTTAGATGTTTTCTTCTAGTGAAGTTCAACCAGTGCTTTATATATCCTTGATATCAACCAATTGTCGATTGGGTATTGGGTGAATATCCTTTCCCATTCTGCAGACACTCTTTGTATTTAGGTCACTGTTTCTTTTGAGGTGCAGAAGCTTCTTAATTTAAGATAGTCCCTTTTGTCTATCTCTGTTTTCACTTGCTTGGCCAGTAGTGTGTCATCTTTGAAGATACCATTTGCTTCAATGTCATGGAGGGTTTTGTCAACCTTGTCTTCAATGTACCTTATGGATTCTGGTCTGATGTTGGGGTCTTAATCCATTTTGATCTTACTCTTCTATATGGTGTTAGGTAGAGATCTGAGCCCATTTTTTTTCACGTAGCTGTCCAGTTTTGCCAGCACAATTTGCTAAAGAGGCTTTCCTTGCTCTACTTCACATTTCTTGCTCCCTTATCAAAGATTAGATGATCATATATTTGGGAGGAGGTGTCAGTATATTCAACACTGTTTCATTGGTTTGTGGCTCTGCCTTTGTTCCAGTACCATGCTGTTTTAATTATTACTGCTGTGTAGTAGAGTTTGAGGTTGGGGAGGTTGATTCTTCCCGTTTTCTTTTCCCCAAGAATTATTTTAGCTATTCGTGAGGGCTTATTGTTCCATATGAGTTTCAGGAGTGTTTGCTCCATTTCTTTGAAGAATGTCATGGGTATTGTTATAGAGATAGCATTGAATTTGTACAATGCTTTAGAGAGTATTGCCATCTTGTCAATGTTAATTCTCCCCATCCATGAACAGGGGATATTTTCCCATTTCCTCGTGTCCTCTTTTATTTCCTGAAGTAGTGTTTTGTAGTTTTCTTTGTACAGGTCTTTTACTTCCTAAGTTAAGCTGATTCCTAGGTACTTGATTTTCTGGGGCACAATTGTGAATGGGATTGTTTTATTCATGTCACTTTCTTCTCAATCATTATCTGTGTATCGAAAAGCCATGGACTTTTGGGTATTGATTTTATAGCCTGCATCTTAACTATACAAGTCTATTGTTTCTAGGAGTTTCTTGGTAGAGGTTTTAGAGTTCTCTAAGTATAGTATCATATCATCTGCGGATAGTGAGAGCTTGATTTCTTCTTTTCCTACCTGAATATCTTTTTATTAATATCTTTCTAATCCTACCCTTAATATCTTTTTCTTGCCTAACTGCTATTGCAAGTACTTCCAGTACTATATTGAATAGCAGTGGAGAAAGTAGGTATCCCTGATCTTAGAGGGAAGGCTCTTAGTTTTTCCCCATTGAGGATGGTGCTTGCCATAGGCTTGTGGTAGATGGCTTTAACTATATTGAGAAAAGTCCCTTCTATCCCCATTTTGGAGCGAGATTTCATGATAAACGGGTGCTGGATCTTGTCAAATGCTTTCTCTGCATCTAATGATATGATCATATGTTTTTTATCTTTTCTTTTGTTGATATGATGGATTATGTTAATTGATCTGCAAATGTTAAACCATCTTGCATCCGTGGGATGAATCCCACTTGGTCATGGTGTATGATCTTTTGGGTGAGTTGTTGAATTCCATTTGCTAGTATTTTGTTGAGAATCTTCGCATCTGTGTTCATCAGGGATATTGACCTGTAGTTTTCTTTTCTTGTGGTGTCTTTATTTCCTTTTGGTATTAGAGAGATATGAGTTTCATAGAAACTGTTTGGGAGAATTTCTGTTTCTTCAGTTTCCTGGAAAAGCCTGAGAAGAATGGTAAATAGGTCCTCTTTAAATGTTTGGAAAAATTTGCTAGTGAATCCATCTGGACCTAGGCTTTTGTTTTTAGGAAGACTTTTGATTATAGTTTCAATTTCCCTTATATTAATAGGACTATTCAGGTATTCTAGATCTTTTTGATTCATCTTTGGGAGATTATAGGAATCCAGGAATTCATCCATTTCTTCTAGGTTCTCTTGTTTGGTGCCATACAGACT